GGTGGGTTAGTGGGTTGGGTGGGTTGGTTGGGTTGGGTGGGTGGGTCGGTTGGTTGGTTGGTTGGGTTGGTTTGGTTGGTTGGTTGACAAGGCTCTGTTGGTTGGTTTGGTTTGGTTGGTTGGTTGACAAGGCTCTTCTTCTTCGCCCAACAATCTCCTCCTCCTTATCTCCCCCTTCTCTTATTCATACAAGAAATAATAGTACAATGTTGAATGGCTGATCCAGAATCAATGTCCGAGTTCCTCTTCTGCTGCAGGTATCACTTGAGGTCCACATAGCCATGGCCGCCTCTCCCGCTCTTCACTCTCATAGGCCGGGGCTATGGTGGACTACTAGGCCTTGCCCAGATGCCCAAAGGACAGCCCAAAGCAGCTATGGCTGCTGTAGCTCAGGCAGCCATGCCCGACCCTGCCTCGAAGCTTCTTGGTGTAGCTCTCCCCAGTTGGGGACTCCCTGCTGCAGCGCCCACCAAGGTGAAGATGGCTGCCACCATAGCCAGGTAAGTACCCCTGGCGCTCCTCCCCCCTTCCTGTCCTTCTTCCTCCTCAGTTTCCTTCTCCTTCCCCCACCAGCGTTCAAGTCACGAGCACTCATCAGCGCGTACCAAAGGTAACCCGTAAACAGCATAAGTTCTCAGGTAAGTATCTCTTCCCCCACTGCTCTCCTCTCTTATGTATCTCTCCTCCTTCCTGGTCTTCTCCCTAGCTATGTCCTCGCTGTGTCTTCTCTCCCTACATTCGTGCACACTCGCTAACTTCTACTCAAGGATCTACTCTGAATACACCCACTGAAATGTCTACTAACCCTCTATCGTCTACTACTACACATCCAGAAAAACAGCAAGGGTGTTTGTGGAGTCCGCAAGTGATGTTTCTCGTTTGCCGTATGATTTAATTGGTGTGCCTTTTTTTTTTTTTTGACAAGTTGCCGCTTGGCCTGTCCGTGGTTCATCATATGCAGGAGCTCAAACTTTTTCTAGCAAATGCTGTGAAGGCATACAGAGTCAACAGCTTTGTCATGAACATGCTGGCGGCACATCACCCATTTGAGCAGAAGCCGGCACAAGCTCTGGCGCATGATGGATCAGTGCTCACCGGGGTGACGCACGAGCTGAGTATGTATCATCATGTGTGTTTGGACTCGACACTTGCTTATATGCATTCCTCTCTTTTCCTAGTTCATTCCTTCCTGATCACCACGCTGCACCAGCCGGTTATTTCCTTTCCCTCTTCCTATCTTTCGTCCATTCTTCCCTTCCCCTCCCCCACCCCCTGACATGCCCTGTCTCACCCTGGCTATATAATGCATCTGAGTCACACAGACTATCTTTCATGTTGTTTGCTGCTCTTACAGAAGCTTCACCCGGCAGTCCACTCGGTGATTTTCTTCGATTTATCCCTAGGCGCATGCGGGCGGACCAGCATGTCTGGACTCCATCCTGGGAAGACAATGTGTGGACAAAAGCCTCGAGAATCAAAACACGGGTTTTGTAAGTGGAGATCAGCAGAGCTGTGATGTGCCCAACCGGAGCAGCAAGTGCGTGCTTGCACAGTCCACTTGGCCCACAACCAAAGGAATGCACCCGCAGTTAAAAAGCATCTCATGCCATTAGATGCTGTTTAGCTGTGGTTAGGAATTCCTTTGCCGGCGTCTCAGTCATTTCAAAGTAGTTTTTTCCGAGCACCCTTAGCAGCACAGTCAAAAAGCACCTCATGCCATTAGATGATGTCTAACTGTGGTTAGGAATTCCTTCGCCTGTGTCTCACTCGTAGCAAAGTATTTTTTTCCTGCCCACACTGCACCACAGTTAAAAAGCAATCTCATGCCATTAGATGCTGTTTAACTGTGGTTAGGAATTCCTTCGCCTGTGTCTCAGTCATAGCAAAGTAGCTTTTTTCTGACCACACTGCACCACACTGACCACAGTTAA